GTTTTGTTGTAAAATGTTTGTGACTCTTCCATCTAATATTTTAATTTTTTTCTCAATTGTATTTTTTTAATGTGCAATGGGGGAAAATTTGTTGTCTAGTATTCCCGGCTATAACTAGTGCTCCATCTTTTGTTAGGTTGAGGCATTATCGAGAAGAAATGCCGCTTTCGAAACTGGTTGTTCAGTAGGCCTTTCTTAGATCCAAATTGTCTACTGATCCTGTTTCTATTTAACGTCATACTCGGTTCCCTCGGGCGGTTGGGAGCATCGATTCTCCAAGGTGTACGCATAGCCATTAGGAAAACAATCGATGGAGAATAAACTGATAGGTAGATTATGGGTATTGATATTCAAGCACTAGGGATCACCAACTTATCTCCCTGAAGGTCATGTTTTAAAACCCTACCACCAAGGCCTAATAATCCTCACTTTTCATATCACACGGTAGTTGTTTCGTTGGTTACTTCTTCCTCCCGAAAGTTGCTTGTTTAATCATATATTTTAATAAAACAAGGAACACAATGTGAGCAGAATTGGTATTGGTCATCTATTTTCCCGAGCTCTCAATCAGCCATCTACGCATATTAAATGGGTTGATAAATAGCTGGTGGAGAGCACGCGAATTGGATGGCCAATATCACTTCTGCTCAAAAGGAAAGGATGTTTCCGATAAATCATGTATTTAATGAAAAGAATTAAAAATAAAATAAAAAGGGAATTGAAAAATCCACTATGTCATCAGGGTGTATCTTGCAAACATCCAGAAAGCAATCTCGGTAATTAATGCAAATGTCACCGGCCATACTAATCGTTGGCTCACGTGTGTATTTCGCATTCTTTTGTTTTGCTTTCCACGTCGATGTAAAAATCTAGGAACGGCTGATCCAGTTTGAGTACAGTAAGAAACACCTGCGACTACGCGAACGCCTATTTGTTCAGTTCGGCCCATGGCCTAAGGACAAGCTTGAATGAATACCGAGGAATTGAAGAGACATATAGCTGCATACCACTAATTTCCGAAGCATAAAATCTACTCGGATGATGAATTGTTGGATGAGACGAATCAAAAATCCCAACAAAAGTAAATACTGGATTCCATGCCATGCATATCAACAACGGCCCTCGGGATCTTGCAGGTTTTGTGTTGTCACGGGCTTCCCCACCGGAAACATCTGACCCCGGCGACGTACAGAAGACTGTATAGATAATCTACGCGATCCAGTCGAAGAGCGGACATAACGATTGATCTTACTGTCCTTGTTGTTTTTGTCTCTGTGATGTCAATGTTGGCGGTCGCAGTAGTATCAGTTTTACCGATGCTCTCACGGACCATTTTGAGCTCAGTTTATCGCATATCCTCTACCACCCTCCTCTTCATACGGCTACTCATGACACGGGAAAGTATATCCTCCAATCGATCCACCTTAACAATATGTTCCCGTTCCGAAACATACCTTCACGACTTCGGTGCTTTCATTTTTAACCGTGTCAAATAGCATCAGTTTAAGTGGGAACAATAAACTGTTAGAATACGCCCGTCCTTCCTGATTGCTACACTTCGTCTGTTCTCTCAGGGAACTTTTCCTGCACTTCTTTACTGCTTTATTTACACTTAGGGATCTGCTCGTGAGTCTTTCATCCATCTCTCATTACAACATTTGTTTATTTATCTATCATTTCGTTTCTATCTACACGAGAAATGTGTATCTCGTGATGTTTGTGGTAATTGGTTCTTTCTCACCCCAATTACCTCGTCGTCAGTGAAGCAGTTTCTCGTTTGGCTTGTTTCGTTTGTATACTTCTCGCATCCTCTCTCGCCAGTTGTCTTCTCTCATCATTGTCCTCCCCCGTGACAACATAATCACCTTCATCCCCATTATCATGGCGGTATTCCTGGTTATCATGAAACCGTCCAAACAAAACGATCAATCTTTTCCATTGATAGAGCTCACTAGGGGATCGGCTTTAGTCGGAATGTTAATCCTCCTAGACTGAGGTGGCACAGGAGATGACTAAGTTACCCTAGCTAGCAACATTCTGCATTTCACTGTTCAGTTCTCCTCCTGCATTCGTGATCGTGGATATCCTTCATCGCGGATGCTTTTAAACGGAGACAGGTGTTGAAGCACTTTACGCGAAGGATTTTCGAGACTTCCCTGACAATTTAGCGCCAATCCTCGATAGTAATCGTTTCTATCCATAGGCTCCAATGCCTCTGTCATGTATTACAGATGTCATTCACGAGGCATTTTCAACGTGTCCTCCTTGTTTACACAGGCAACACTAAAAAAACGCAATAATGAGTCACTTTCCTTTGTCAAAATTTCTATCATGCACAACCCGGTATTAGTACCCCGCCTATTTAGAGTTTATAGGTTAATACACATACTCTCATCTCTGGCCCTCTTGAATGATTTTTTGTTTTGAGAAAACCTCTTCATAATGTTTATTTTATTGTTTATCATCGTGAAAAGACTCAATGGAATGGGGTGCAAAATCCAGATGGGTTACCGAGTGCTAGACGGCTCACTACCACATCTGTTCTATTGAAGTCGTATATGGTTCACCACATCAAGTCTCAGGATAATAATTACAAGTTTTCTTTTCATTCCATGAATCAGGAAAGTACACAACGGCGCACTATCTTACTTTCTCGCTCGTTCTGCCCTATTCTCTCGCAAGGTAACCACAAGCTCCCCCCCTCACCAGCATCCGCAAACTGAACTGCATCATTCATTCTGTACGGTTTCATCTCCTATAACCTTATTTCGGATCGAACTCCGAGTCTCCCACTAGTCAGACACCATCCACGTCCCCCACTTCCTTTTTCTATCCGAAGCCGGTGTGTGTACCTTTGTCCACAAATCAGTCGCCACCTCCGGAATACAAAGTCTTGACTTTTCGAATCGTGAATTTCAGCTGATATATAGCTCAAGAACCAACTTATTTCCTTTAAATATTACTTTTGTGTTTTATCTCTTTCTTAAAGGTAGGACTCCTCCACATTTGATTTATCATTTTACACCATTCCACGGTCTTAAAGCCTCAGAATGATCGGAGTGGGTGTCTTGGGTTGTGGCTGATCACCCTTCCCCTACATCCCACAAAATGCCCCTATACGATCAAGCCTCTACTAAGGACGCCCTACGCATTGCCTTCTCGTGGCAGAGGTGCTTTCCCGCCAAAGTGAGAGGACGAAAGCCAATATCCGGGGCTACGATCGGGTCGGTGAATCACTGGAACTTCACCTAGGGGAGTTGGCCAACAATCGTGATTCCAAACCAACCAAGAGACGTACGAATCACACCCACCCACACTGGCTCGACTAAACACCTCGGATGTTTCACCTCGTCCAACGGGTGTATGATCTGATGAACTGGACACCGGCTCCTACACCACTCCACTGCCTTGCGGGCTCCGGTAGTGAACCTTCTAAGAAAATTCACCTGCATTGTCCTGGTCAACCTGGCAGTATTCCGCCAATAAACGAATCATGAAACTCAAAATGATTATTTTACTATGCTTTGTTTTGCATACAGCCCGGTTTCAGACGTGTGTGAGACGAAACTCGATATAGGTGATCCTTAAAGTCAGTAAAATAACGATGGCAAAATGATTGCAAGATAACAGTGGAAGTCAAAAGTAGAGGGAGTTGGGTGTTAGTCACTAAGGCAAAGCTGATGTAACCGACCGTTCGTGCAGTTTGCTTATATCAGGTTTGTGATTTTCAATGACTATAGTCTTGACATTTTTCAATACTTCAATGTTTGCGTTATTTTTGGAAGTGACCGGAAATAAGCGAGTTGGAATGACTTTCCCTATACGTGTTAGGTAATTGAAGATCTGAATCTGTTCTTCTTATTCACTGATGTAACAGTTGCAAACTTATTGTTCATCGCTTTCGTACACCACACCTAGATGTGTTCGGCCTTTGGTGACGCAGCTACCCGTCTATTCTGTTTATGCAGATGGTTGAGCATCCCCGCTTGAGCTGGCCAATGCAGTTGGTTTTGGTGGATGGGGTTTGGGGAGGGGAGGTGACGGGGCTTTTACCGATTTCGTTGGTTACTGAGTCATAGTGAAAATAATGACTTGGATTCGTACTGACCACGTTTGATGCCCTAGTACTTTTTTTCAAAGGCTAGCCTTCGCCATCGATGTGGCCAGTCCGCTTTGTTCTCTGTCCTACCTATCTTGTCACGCTCGTCCGGACACGTGCACGTAAGTAAACTCGGATTTCAACCATGTAGCATGGAACATATTAGGATTTACTTCGCTCTCTCTCTCTCTACTTCCTTTAAACATGACCCGGTACGGAGCTCATCTTGTTTCGCATGCGTCCTGGAAAATTATGCTTCATTTTCACACCTTCCCAATCTTAACGTTCCACTCTTGAGTACTGCGACCACGTCTGAAATGGGTCTCACACAATACATTATTTCTTCTGGACTGAATTCAGCATCAGATTATCCGGTTAAATCGGTGATCCAACTGTGATTCCCTCTTCCCATACAGTCACTAGAGTTCACCCCCAGGTTGTTACTTCACTCTTCTGTTTATCAATGTTCTCATAGTTTCTCATGGGGAATTAACGATCTCCCAAGAATTGAACNCACATCCAAAACCATCATGAGTGCCTGGTGCCTCTGAACAATCGAATGGGCTAATCCAAACTTGATACTCTAAATCTCATAGTTTCTGTTCACAGAAACTGTTACCTGTAAATCCGAATCCACTTCTGCTTACTCTTCAAATCTTGCTTTCCCTTTCCTTCCAAACCTTGTTCGGATGGCAGTACTCCCGCACCGCTCTTCGTTTTGCTGGATTAGGCCTTTATATTCATCCCTTCTAATATTATCCACTTTTATGATGTAATTGAAATGTCATGTTCATCGCTCGCAACGCGAAAATGTATGCGCACTATGTTAAACTTCATATTTTTTTCTCATTGCAGACGATCTCATTATCAAGCCACCTTGTGAGTCCAACAAAACACAAACATGGGTGGTGGAATGTCTCGAATTATGCCCGGTATCTATGTGGGCGGCTTGACAGCGGCCAAGTCCCAGATCCAGTTAAATACGAATCATATCACACATTTGTGCAGTGTAATTCACGACGGTGTTCATTTGGACTCGGGTCGGAAACAAGTCGTGTTTCGAGCCGATGACTCACCAGATGAGAAATTGTCTCGTTTCTTCGAAGATGCCGTGAATTTCATTCACGAGGGTCGTGTTTCTGGAGGATCTGTTTTAATTCATTGGTAGGTCTTCTGACAAAGTTCCGTTATGCGACAACGCTAATAATCTGCAGTTTTTTTCCTCTCTCGTTTTTCGATCCCAACTCCATGGCTGATAACTATAGAACTGGGTAGTCTCAAGAAATCCACTTCATTTTTGCTAACAGGCAACCTAAACCTAGGTTAGAAAACCGGATAACCATATTGAGTCGGAAAACGGCTAAGTTGTCTACCCCTCGGGTGGTGTGTATATTCAGTTGTTATACCGCTCGTCGTGGAGGATTTGGAATCAAGGTTTCTCCACTTACCTAGATAAACTGGCCACTGGCGACTGGTCAACAAATACGGTTGTACTTTTCCCTTTCAATTCACCCAAACCACCCTCTCGATGGGAAGGTAGTGGATAGAAATTTCTCTGTAGAAACTGGAAACTTAGGTGCTTACGGGGCGGGGGGNGTGTGTGTGTTGTGACAGGACACCGAGATGATAAAATCAAGCTATCGAAATACCCAATTCCGATCATCTCTTGGAGGTTTCAATAGCTCTTCTGCACTTGAGTTCCCCGAGTTGCGTCCCAGCCGTGTGAGGTGAACGTTTAGTTCTATCGTCCAACTATTCATCCACATTATGGCACAGGACTAATCAATTTTGGAAAAAGGTCAAGGGAGTTCAAGCGAAGACCTGGCATGAGGGTATGAAAACCCTAACCAGGAGACTAGGTCACATAGGCTCCCTTAGGTTCCCTGGCTGGGGACCTCGGCATGATCGTTACTGATGGTTGAGACGCCGAGCGATATGGCTGAGTTTCGCAGATAATGGCGCACGTGCATCCACTCATTATTCCTCTAACACCATTCTATATGAATTCTCCATCTTCCGCTTGAAATTGCTTTCAACATTCCAATCTTCATTCTGTTCTTTTATCCAAATGGAGCACCAAAAGACAGCAACCAAAACCGGCGCACGAAAGTGCATGATTAATGGTTGTAAAAACTGGAACTAAACTGAATCAATTTTGGCACGATGTAAACTATTCTCTTCTTTCGCCAAACTCCGCAGCGCATGTGGCGTATCACGCAGCGTGACCATCACCCTGGCCTATCTACTCGTCGTGACCGATTTTCCTCTGGCCGAACTGCTCAAAGCAGTTCAGGGAGCTCGACATTGTGCCTGCCCAAACCACGGGTTTCTGGTAAGTCAGCTGAATGTTACATCTGGTTAGTTCCTTATATCTTCTATTCTCAACATTTTCACTTCACACGAGAGCTTTCTTTATTCGTTCTGGACAAAAAGATGTCTGCTTACGTTCCCCTATATCTACTGTTCAAGACTCATCGAGTTGATCGCCGTTGCATGATTCTTCTCTTCCACCTCGATAGCCTTCCACACTATTCACTTTAACATGTAAACCTTGACATCTGTGTGTTCATGAACATGTTCCACTCGTACGTTCGAGACCGTGACCAGCGATGTGAGTTGTTGTGTCCCTGAGAGACGCTTTCAAGTCTCTTACCCAATCATTCCATTGACAGCTAGCCCTAGTCAATTTCTACATGATTTTTTCACTGATGCCGTTCCGGGGAACCTGAGGCTGTGGACCATTGTTTTTCTTGCGTTATCGGAAGAAAGGAATACTACGCTGAGTCCCTTGTCTTCGATCAGGGCGCATTTGATAACTCATTTCAAGCTACCTGGTAGAGACTGTATCGACCACATCTTCACTCTTCGTCAAATTCTAGACCACAGACTCTCCTTTCGTAGACCCACCATTTCCATCTTCCTCTGATCTGAAAGCGGCTTTCGACTCAGTCGACCGCTCTAAACTCTGGCGCTGCCTTTCCCTGAAAGGTGTACCCGAGAAGTTTATCCTTTATCCTTTTGTACTAACAGCCGAATCCGAGTTCGAGCTTACGACACTTTCTCACTCGAGTTCACTACAGAAAGTGGTGTTCGACAGGGTTGCTCTCTCTTTCCGTTTCTATTCAACTTTGTCAGACATAATTCTTGAAACAACCGTATCCCCCTGCGAGGATATCGGTATCGATTTACTTCCTGGTGGCAGACTATCTGATCTAGAACATGCAGACGACATAGTGCTACTAGGTGAAGATCCAGGTAAGTTGCAAGCTTCTCTGGATAGCTTGAGTGCTAGTATAGCAATGCTCGGTATGCGTTTTGGACCTTCAAAGTGTAGAATGTTGCCACAAGATGGGGTTGAACCGGCTCCAAACCTCACCCTGACTGGGGAAGTATTAGAGGAAGTAGACAAATTTTACTATCTGGGAAGCCATATCTCACGCGATGGACGCCTCACAGATGAAATTTCGGCGCGT